GCTCATAAAAAAAATTTCAGCCAAATCGGAGAACATGAGGTCAAAAAGGTGTCCAAGCTGTAAAAGAATATACAGTAATCGAATTTAAATCCAATTGGACATTTATGGGAACTTTTGGAACGAAAAATTCGTAAAAATTCAATTTTTGCCAAACGGCATGTGAAAAACATAATACTAAAAGGATGGGGACCAGTAAAATTGTAGTTTCGATGAAAAATCGTCTATTGGAAGTTTTTAAGTATTGTGGTTACCCAACTAATTACTAAATTGCATAAAAAATTAGAAATGTTCCTTAAAATGTCGTCTTATACTTAGTGTTTGTAGACTTTTGATCACTTGTTTTGCTATTCCTAACAATGAAAGCACCGTTATCTTAGGTGTTTTGTGAACACGTGCAAAAAAACTTCGCGAAAACATTGGGCATTGAATGTTTTAAAAAAAACAATAAAGCATGTTTCTAACAAATTTAGTTTTTGGAGAATATTTTCAAACAAAGTTTTTTGTACTGCCTGCTTGTTGACTTATGACTCCGACTGTATATTAAAATCAAAGATGAATCTGTCTACAAGAACGACATTGAATAGTGTCGAATTTGACAAAAAAGTAACGACCAGTTTTGCTCGTCCTTTTGCTGGGGTAAACTCACCGGTTTGTCCTGAGTCGTGACAATAAATTTTTATGAAATAAGGACACAGTGTTTAAATATTAATTTTTAAATGTTTATTTATTAGTTGAATTTCTTAAGTCTAACAATTATGATTTTCCTACTACTTTTACTTGGCTGAGTAAAATATATATAACTATAATAAAATATATAATATACAATACTAATATATATATATATTCGTGCTTATAAAGAAGGAAAAAAAGAACATAAACATATTCACGCCTATTACAAAAGAAACATAAACGTATTCATGCCTATGAGAGAAAGGACATAAACGTATTCACGCCTATGAGGGAAGGAACATAAACGAATTCACGCCTATGAGATTTAGTTGGAAGTACATAAACGTATTCACGCTTATGTGAAATTTGGTTGGAAGGAATATAAACGTATTCACGCTTACGTGGGGTTTGGTTGAGGAAATTTATAAAAATATTTATATAAATTGATATAAAAATAAAAAATATGATGTTGACGCGGTTTTCTTGATACTTATCTGTCTACGATGATTACTGGAAGTTAATCTGCGCGCTTCTGGTGACTTGGGATGTTGATCACTAAGTATCCTGCTTGAACAAATGCGTCGTCTTATATACACAACAGGCCGGACAGCAATGTTGCGCAATTGTTCTATTTACCGCTGATCTCTGTTTTTGTCGCTGTTATGAGTATGTATTCATATTCGCATTCTCCTCTCATTTGTTTTCTTTACGGCTTGTTTGAATTTTTCGCCGCGTTTATTTGCTAATTTAGATGCGCGCGCATCCTCCTCTTTGCGGTTGCCATGTGTGATTCCGTTTGACTCCGTTTGCGTAAACGTGGACTTGTTTACCATTTCGCAAAAAGTGAAAATTAATAAATAAAAGTGAAATAAAATATACATTTGATATAATTTTATATAAACAGAAGAAAACATATTAATTAAATTGAGGTACTACCAGTGAATAGGTATTAATTTATTAATTTATAATTTCAGTGATACATTTTTCATTGTTTTTATTTGCAGTGTTACTTGTGATATACAGTTGGTAAACTTTGTGTTTTATTTTTATGTAGGATAGAAATTCATAAAAATTTCTGTCCTTACAATAACTTAGCCTCAAATCTTTTCAATCGATGGGAAAGTTTTTTTTTATCTAGTTCTTAATGCGGTAAACATTTTAATAAAATTTTGATTGATGTCATTTTGATGCTGTGGCGAATTGAATCCTTATAAATTGTGGATATTTGTGTGTATAGTATAATTTCAAGTTTTTTTTATTTAGTATGGTGCGAGTTCTTTACCAATTAGCCAGCAGCAGACTCCAAATTGTTGATATCTTTTCTTGCATAGTTGAAAATAACGTTTTTGGATTTATCAGATTGCTTCAGATTGATTGGGGAATCGCATTTTCTTAAAGGGACGCTGTTTGTATTTCACATATTTCCGTTTTTTACCAGTGAGGTGTCATTCGCTTCAAGTGTGTCTCTTCAATTTAACGTAACCTAAGACTGTACCGTTATTTTCATTATTTCGTTTTGTTTATATTTTTATCAATAAGATGTTACTATTACACAATGGTAAGCTTTGAGGATAGAATTACTCATTTCATCCTTGTTATCAATGGAATGAGTTGTACAACCATGTAATGGAGAGTAAGAAATATGTAAAGTCGCGATCCTACATAGTTATTCGGAAAATAAATAAATACGTGTTTAAAAGAAATTTGTAGAAATATACAATAAAAATCATTAGCTAATCTTGTAATATTTAAAAATTTGAAAAAAAACCAACTTCCGTTTAGTGAATAAATATTTTATTTCAAACCGAACGTTTATATAATAAGTTGTACGTATACAATTATATAACTGATATGACTTAAAAACAATGATTCTATTAGTTTTACATCAATGATGATTTTATTACAATTACCCTTGCATACATGTTGTTTAAAAATTGTCTTTACGAAAAAACACCCAATTTAAAAATTATTCTGTGTAAGTATACTGAAAAGTTGCTAGTGACGGTGTTTGAACGGGTACTAAGTGATTGTGACCATTTGTACTCTGTTGGATCAAATAATTTCGTCCTTTTGAAAACCACTGAACAACACTTAATTCATCTACTGTTTCTGTTGATACCGGGTTATATTTTCGACTTTCGGAACGGATCATTTTAACTCCATGCACAGTCCTGTTTGGGTTTACAAAAAGTTTTTTATGTGGGATGTGGTCATTATGCATTTTAAAATTGTTGCTAAAAATGCTTTGATAAGGTGGTGGAGGTGTGATATTAGAGTGCTGATTATTGTGGTCGAAAGATTGTGATGAATCAAATACGAGAAGACCATTTTTTTTACGTAACATACTGCCATTAGTTAATGCATTAGTAGTATGCTGGCTATTAATGTACCGAAATATGAATTCTGTGGTAAATACAACTAATGAAGTTATAAATCCAGCTGCCATTATATAATAAGTCATCATAAGGTCTCCATTTCGTAACTGACGTTCAGTGCCACCTAAATCTTGAGGGCATATTTCTGCATTGGGTAAGCCTCTAACTGAAAGATGTTTAATGATTCCAGATTCAACAAGATTCAATAATCTGAAAAAGATGAAAAAATGAATTTGAATTAGTATATATATACAATTTATTGTATGTTAATTAAAAAAAGGAACAAAAAGGTTATGAACACGAAAATAGTATATATCAGTGATAATAAAGAATAAAGTTAAATGAGTTTATGAGTTTGTAAAGGCATACATTTTATATAACTACTGACGTAAAGAACTTGTTGAGGTTCTGAAAATAGTCATTAGTTAAAAAATGTATGCCCCATATCCGAAACAATTTTTTTTCATTAATTCATAACACACTCAGTTTAACGATGAATCAGATCTTGCTTAATTTTATCTTTTAAAGTAGTGTAAAAGCATATTTTGTTCTTTCGTTGTCTTGTCTTTACTGAGATGGTTTACATGCGCACGAAAAAGTTCAGAATGGACTTGCAACCACATGAACACAAAATTTATTTTATTGAGGATACAGCTTGATGGATTTTTTAACTTACTTACTTATTTTGCCATAACAATCCGTTACCGATTTTCAGCCTGACACGTCCGGTTAGTGCTCTCTCCACTTGGTCCTTCGACCGAAGACACGGTCTATCCCTACGAGTACTTAATCCAACTACTGCTTCAAATACATATTTTTCTGGAGCATCTTCACCCATTCTCATGACATGACCAAGCCAGCGAAGCCATTGGATTTTAATTCGCTGAATTATGTCGTGCTAAAGCTCGTAAAGTTTCCTGTGCATTCAGACGCTGTAGTCTTTACCAACTTGTAGAGGACCAAAGAGGACCAATCTTACGAAGAAATTTTCTCTCAAACATTCCCAGTGCTGCTCAATCATCCTGTGGTGATGTCCATGCTTCTGTGCCATACAGAAGTACAGGACGGATGAGCGATCTGTAGAGCGTAAGTTTTGTTTGTCGAGAGAGCTCTACATCTCAATTGCATACTGAGCCCATATTAGCACCTATTATAAATAGAGATTCTTCTAAACCTTTTCTTGCAGATTTCTTTTTGATAGCATAAAGGCAGCTGTAACATCACGCTTAGTATGTTAGATTATGTCAATGTCGTCGGCATAAGCAAAGTACAGGACACATTTGTAAAATATGGTTCTATTACGATGAACACCTGCCCTGCGTATGATCATTTCCTTTTTGAAATTCAAAATATTACATGATAAAGGATCACTTTGTCTGAAGTCTCGCATGGTACCAAAAGGTTCGAAAAGACTCGATTTTAGCTTGTCAGAGCTATGGATATTGCTCAACTTCATTCTACAGAATTGGATTAAATTTGCAGAAAAACATACATTACTTTACTCAGACATTGCGGCGTAAACACGATTCGTTATGAGACTATCGAAAGCTGCTTTATAATCGACAAAAAGATGATTATGTTCGTAAGCTTTTCCAGAATTTGGTGCAGTGTGCATATCTGGTCAATAATGAAGCGATCAGATCGAAAGTCGCACTGATAAGGTAAGGTAACATATGGCTTCAAGCTTTTACACAGTACAGTTGAAAGGACCTTGTATACGATAGCTATTAGGCTGTTCTCGCTACAGTTGGCGCACATTGTAGGAACATATTTTTTCAAAACAGGACAAAGATTTTATTTTACAACAAACTACTGAAATTTTTTTTTAAATTTATATTTTTAATATAATAATTATTTAATATCAATTATCAAAAATATAAGCTAAAAAAGCGAATTTTATTTCAATGTGTAAACCCATTCTTGATATACTGTATGTGTAAGTTATTAATATTGTGATTTATTATTATATAATAACTATAAATGACACTGACAATTTATTATTTTCTACCTCTTTGATTCATTGCAGTAACGACGGAAAGCAACAAGACAAATATCAATTGTAAGTATTTTATTTTCGATGCATTAGCATTTGTTAAATACTAATTAAGGTATTAAAAATGAACTTTTTTGTAGACATTCTAAGTGATGATTTGGAAATATAGCTTTCTCAAATGATGATAGATGATGAGAATTTTAGTAATGATAAATTTCAAACAAGTGCTGTAAATTATTTAAAGTACAAAATACCTAGTTAAAATTTTTTGTTTTTCCAGCTTCTAGTCAAAATATTACAGCGATTAAAGAAATCAAATCCCAACAAAATTCGAAACATAAATGATGCAAATAGTTTCCAGGTTGACTGAAGAAGTGATTTTGCTGCGGAGAGAAGTTCGAGAATTACGATTATTTGGTTCGAAAAGTGCTTCTCAGGAACTTTCTCTACTGCCACAATTACCCATAACAACTATAGATTCATTAAGAGATTTTGACAATCAACTACATATAAATGAAAATATAAGGAGTGCATTGGTAATATTGCTTACAGAAACAGTGATTAAAGAATTCATTAGATTCATATGATTTGTCATATTTTTTAAGAAATGCCAGAAAAAATGTTAATAGTGATGAACTTGATGCCAAATGTTCTTCGAGAGATGCAGCTAGTAAACCATTCATTCAAAATTATTTTCTGGTTCGAATAAGTAAAGATATTTTGTACGTATATATATACCTTGCCATCAGAAAAGAACGAGAATTTTAATTTTTGAATTCCCGCGCTTATCGGTAATTTTTTTTTATTTTCACGCTGGCAACACTATTATACACATTCTGTCAAAGTTTAACGTATATCGTACGATTAGTTTTTGTTTGGTGTCTATACAAAGAAGTTGAAAAATTTTCGTGTGGCGTATTTTAGGTGAATTTCATTCAAAAAAAGCGTCGTTGTGATGTAGCCAAAGAGATGATTTCCAACGCAGATAGTGACCCTACATTCATCGAACGCATCATAACTGGTGATGAGACATTGGTCTTTGAATTTGACATGCCCACCAAACAACAATCGACCGAATGGTGCTTCGAAGGTGAGCCGAAACCGAATAGAGAACGCCAAAGTCGGTCCAAAATCAAGGTTATGCTGACTGTTTTCTTCGATATTCGTGGTGTGAAATCCTTTCGGATGGTCAAACGGTCAATAAGGATTATTATTTGATTATATATCAAACTCTTCATTGAATTGCTAACAGGCCACTACAGACTGCGATACCATCTGGAAAACATTGGTCTAGCAGAAAACGATTCCTTCCGACTCTGTCAAGAGCAACAGGAAACAGCAGAACACATTCTATGTCTCTACCTAACCCTGCTAAAAATCAGACTCACCTATTTTGGCAGTGGAGTTTTGAGACCTGAACACCTAGCCAGTATAAAACTTCATCGAATATCAAATTTAAAATAATTTGGAAGAACGTGTGTGTTAAGGGCCTCAAGAATTATTGTCAACAATCGTTGTCGTCGCTTGCTATTACACATCAAACTAGTCGACAATTTTTTAAACATGCCTCAGAAAAAATAGCAAATGTACTATAACACATCAGTCAATAAGACGTGTGACTAACTAAGGAAAACAAATTTTTTCTGCCAAACATCGATTTTACTCATCAATATAATCTCTTTCAAGGGCAATACAATCAATCCAATGCTTCTCTAACTTCTTGATTCCGTGCTTGTAGAAGGATTTCGCTGGGGGGCAAATCTGGACTATACGGTGGATGAGGAAACAAATCGAAATGTGCAATTTTGCCACTGAGGAATTCGTGCAATTTTGCCATCATTTTTATTGACTTGTGACATGGTACATTGTCTTGATGAAACAAAATTTTTTTCTTCGCCATATGCGGTCGGTTTTTCACAATTTCTGCTTTCATACGATCCAGTAACGCCGTGTAGTAGTTACTATTGACGGTTTTTCGAGATAGTCAATGAAGATTATACCATGTGCATCTCAAAATACTGAAACCATATCCTTCCCAGTTGACTGTTGTGTTTTTGGACGCTTCGGACGTGGTTTACTGGCTGCAATTCACTCAGATGATGATCGTTTTGATTCCGGAGTGAAGTGATGAATCTATGTTTCATTTATTGTCACATATCGACGCAAAAAATCTGATTTATTACGTGTAAACATGGCTAAACACTGCTCTGAATCATCAACACGTTGTTGTTTTTGATCGACCGTGGGTAAACGCGGCACCCACATTGAAAAGAGCTGTCTCATGGTCAAATGTTCATGCATAATTGTAAACACACTGCCTTTTGATATCTTTACGATCTCAGCTACCTCATGCAATTTCAATTTACGATCAGATATAACCGATTTCTGGACTTTTTTGATGTTTTCTGGAGTAACCACCTCAATTGGACGGTCAGAACGTTCACCATCATCGGTGTCTGTACGACCACGTTTAAATTCAGCAAACCAATAAAAAATGGTTTTTTTCGATGGAGCAGAGTTCGAATTACATTTTTGAGGCCATTGTTGAGCTTGTACAGTATTTTTTTTCATCAAGAAGCAATGATAAATTAACACACGAAATTGTGTTGAATCCATTGTTTTCAAAATAACAAAAGTAGCTTCACTTAAATGGCTGTCATTTTTTTTCTGACTTATCAAAATGCATGAAATTGTACACATAGTCTTTTGAAGGTTGGTGCTTCATAAACGTCGTATAGATTTGACAACGGCAGCGCCATCTGTGTGTCAGTTATACGACTAATTGACTGATGTATTAAAATAAGATATTGCATACATTTAAACAAATTTTTTCGCACATTTTTTTGTAAATCGAAAAATTTGATTGTGTAATAGTATCATTTGAAATTTTAAAAAAGTCATGAAAATCAAAAAATGTTATTTGATATTTTCGCAAACAAGCTCGTGTTTTTTCGTAAACAATCGGATTATGTCGGCATGCAAAATATCAATTATTTTAAGGTATGGAAGCCTAAATATCGTTTAAATGCACACATGATTTTTCATTAACAACGATAAGTGTAAAAGATAAGTGCAATTTGGAGTGTATTTTTTTTGACTTCTTGGATTTGATAATAGACATACGCTAAATTCACATGTCTTGTCTGCGGAGACAAGCTTACACTAATTCATAATTACTATGAAAAAGAAACTAAAAAAAACATTACAGTTTACGCAC